TGGCAGGAGACAGCAGACTAGCTACATGTGCAGACAGCCTGACTAGTTAGACTGCTAGTGTCAGCTCAAGAGAAACATTCACTCAACTTAGTGGACATTTCTTCTGGATTTTGTCTTGATAGTTTTGTTTCTATTTTCAGCTGTCATTGGCAGGGTACAACTTGGTCAGGTCGTCAGGGCAAAATAATACCCTGATAACGTCAGATGGGGGTATTTTTATCCAAAGTTATCGTCCTGGTGTGTCCAGAATGTAATTGTTTTTGGTGTGATGTGTTTTCTGCAGTGTTTCTGAATAGATGTGATGGTCTGTTGAGCTTTTCTGGTTTTATTTCAGTTCTTTAAGCTCCCGTCTTAGCTTCAGGATGTATTTGTTTTGGTTCGTGTTTAACTCTGAAAGCCTGCATAGTCTGCTCTGTGCTGCGCGCATTGTAACCTGCTGTCTGCAATTCACACCTGGCCATTGTTGCTAATTCTCCTCTGTCGTCTCCTCCTCTGTTATTATTCCGTCTGGTTCTCGTCATTTCCATCCGTCTTCCTCCTGCTTGGTTCCTTTTTACTCATCCATGCACAGATAACGATGATTAGCTTTTGCTAATTCAAAAAGCTGTGCTCATCATGCACCACTTCTTACTCACCTTGTGGATGTTTTGTCTTGCTTTGACAGCCGATAATTTAAAGTTATTTTCTGTAATCTACTCATTGTCTGCTGTTTGTCATGATTCTAAGGAGCTTCATTTAGTATTCTGTCGTTTTGTAGGTCATTCTCTTTCTGTGATTTCTTGTATTCTAGTTTCTTCCTGTTGTAAGACGCTGCAGCCAGCCTTTCTGCCGTTCTTTACAGCTTCATCACTGAGCCATTTATGAAGTTGGATATTAAATAAGCTGCTCTCCGGCTACCAATTACCACTCATTTATACAGACTCATCTCAATACATTATATATGTCATTGAAAAGTTTATTTACGCAATTCCATTCATATAGCTCCATAAAGATGCTTTAGACGTAATGTAATATTTTTCAAGTACAGTATATTGAATTGCATTCATCATCATGCAATGATTGGTAGAATGTAAGCATCAAGTGTCATGCATTCATGTTATATGTATCCATAACATATTTAACTCTTTAAATAGTTTCCATTAAACGTCCATAGAGAAAAGTGGAGACAGAAAAATGTCCTGAAAATAAGGATTAGTCTTAATGAATACTGTTATTGTAATTTTCAGCAATAATACTGCAATAAAATTGGAAATGCTGAAAATGTGCTCTCCCGTGTTGAAGCATTTTTTTCTTTCAATATTGATGATCATAGAAATCTTTTGATTCTCAGCGATGCTTTGACTGGTTTTCATGTTTTTGTTTTTTTCCAGATGACAATGAAGGCGCTCCTCTTCCACCAATCGCAGAGCGACAGGTAAAAAGCACAAAGCAACTTTTAAAGTCTTTTTTTCATGATATGCTAAATAGCTAGCTTGCGATACAAGACTTTACACAAAATAACACCTCAACTTGACTTTTATTGGTTAGTAATTTACTGAAAAATAACATTTCTAACACTATTATACAACACAATGCTGGAAACATTTTGTTACTTATTTAAAAAAACTTAAAGTTTAAAGAAAGTAAATGTTAGGAGAGTAATAAATTTGAGTAATAATGTAAAAAAAAAAAAGAGTTTTGTTTGTTTCAATGTGTTAAAATGACAAAAGTAAAAAGAAAACATATTTTACAAATGAACATTTCTGACATTTAAGGAAACCAATGACCAAAGTGGTTGTTGTTGGGCTTGTCATTATTCTTTTCATTTCTGAACGCAGTGGAGTACTCATTGGCGTAATCACGCTTGTAACTTTTTTGCATGCGCAAAATGAAAAGATCATGTTTGAAATTAACGGCCCACATCTGTGGGAATATTTTGGAGAATAGTATCAAATAGTGAATGTTGACTCTGACAGGAAGCTAAAGGTTTTCTGACAAGTCTGTCGGGGTGTACCCATGTATTTTAGAAATGTCTTACTGTTAACATCATATAGTTTAAAAAAAACAACTTTTATTCTTTGTGCTTCCCTTGGTGCCTGCAGCTGGTTCAGTCCCTCGGTGTGGCCATTTACCGAGCTCTGGACTGGGGGCTGGACGACAACGAGGAGCGGGAGCTCGGCCCGCAGCTGGAGCGCCTCATCGAGCGAATGGCGGGCGGGGATCAGGGCGGCGAGGGCGTCAGCTCCGCTGGCAGCGGAGCTACCGATGAGGGGTACAGCGGACAGGAAGAAGAGGAGGAGGAGGAAGAGGAGAAGGAGGGAGCGATCAGGCCGGTGTGTTCGTTTCGTCAGGTCGTGGTGCTCTGTGCGTCCCGTCTGGCCAACCCGAGTCTGGCCCCGGAGCACTACCAGGCCGTCTGCCGCGCTCTGTTTGTGGAGACGCTGGAGCTGCAGACCTTCCTCGTCAAGATCAGAGACGCGAAGGAGGTACGTCACGGCGCCGTCGTGTCAGAAAGGTTGTTTCCTGAGCAAGGGCCAAATCAGACGAGAAGATAAAACTTTACATGTTTAGGGACAAGAATAATTAGAAACACTGAATACAACATGACAAAAATAAGTGGCTTTATCACATTGTATCAATGATTAGTTTTTGTAAATCATGATGTTTGTGAATAAATGATCCTGCATGACTTTTTATAATATTTGTAGCCAAAGTCATGAGTATGTCACCGTAGACTCGATTGATGAATTCATTCCCTGTGAACTTTTCCCCATTGTGCTGTTATGCAGCCACTAACTTTAAATTACCTTTCACAGGATCTCAAGTGATAGAAGCACCTTTTGTGTTCGTCTCTACCGGCTTTGCAAAAATCCACAGACAAAAATCTTTACTCATTCGCTGTTGCAAAGAATCTCAGGCTCAGCCAGACTGGACCTCTGAACAGCACTTTTCGAGTCTTTCCACCAACTCTGAATCGCTTTTAAGTGATTTCTAGAAGGGATCCAGAAACACGAGCGGT